TATTTAAATAAATCATTTATTAGTAAATATTATATTATTATACCAAGTATATTTAAAATAATATTTAACTAATACAATATAATATTAATTTAATTATATGGTATAATTATTAATTATATTATATTACTAAAATAGCTATCAATTTTTATATATATTCAAGTTCGTAAAATAATATGTCAATATATTATTTATATCATACTATAAAATAATAACAAAATATTATATTGTATAATAAATACAATATTCACAATCAAAAGAAAAATAACTATTTTATAATAATTATTTGATATTTTTTTTGTAAAATATAATGATAATATATTATAATTATTAACTATAAATAATTTTATTATTTAAAAAAACATATTTCTTATAAATAATAACCTAAATAATATATTTGGTCATATAATAACGAGTCTCATAAATATAGAAACTGGAAAAAAAGGAGGCTAGATGTGTTGAAGAAAAAACAAAAACAAAAAAGCACTCGAATAAATACAATATTCACAATCAAAATACAAATAACTATTTTATAATATTTATTTGATATTTTTTGTAAACTATAATGATATTGTATTATAATTATTAACTATAAATAATTTTATTTTTTAAAAAAATATATTTCTAATAAATAAGGACCTAAATAATATATTTGACCATATAATAATAATCCTACAAATATACAAACTGAAAAAAAAAGAGAAAACAAAAAGGAGGCCAAACGTTAAAAAAACAAAAACAAAAACAAAAAAAAACACTACTATTTTTTTGTAAAATATAATGATAATATATTATAATTATTAACTATAATAATAGTCGTACAAATACTTTAATAGTTGGGAAAGATGATAAATTAGTCTACAAATAATATTACTTTCAAGGTAATGAAGGTTGCGAGTCTATTCATTAGAGAATGGAGAACGAAGCATGAATGAAGAAGTTAATATATATCATTGGATCTAGAAGAATGGATGACGTTAAAAAAAAAAAAAAAGAGTGCTATAGTAAACGGAGATGGCAGAAAGGACAAAAAAAATGAGTTTTCAAACCAAATGGAGTAATTAATTTATTCCCCCAAAGAATTTTTTGTTTTGTTTTTTATAATTTATTAAAAGAAAAAATAAAAATAGTCAAATGGAGAAAGAAAAATAAAAATAATAAAATGATGAAAAGGATAAAAAAAATAGTTTTCAAATCAATGGGACTAATTAATTTATCTCTTAAAGAATGAGGGATCAAGATGCAATAAAAACTTGATGAATAAGGATTTGAGTGTGTAATAGTATCACATGCATTTCTTTTAGTTTTTTTTAATAATAATTCCATTTTCATTTACGTACAAACCAATCCCATAATACCTTTTATTACGCACACAATACATACACGAAGATATATATATATATATATTGTGATACCACTTTAATTTCTGATGCTATCTTCCACATTTCATTGAGAACGAGGAGTGAAAGTCGTGCCAGCATAAAACTACGAAGTAGCTAAAAAAAACAAATCCCTATCAAACTAGTGGCTATCCTTAGAAATCCTGAAAGAGATCAACTAGATTTTCTCCTGCCAACAAGAACCACAAAAAGGATCCCACAAAATGTTACAAGCAGAGCACAAGTCACAGACCCCACATTCAGATAAGGCAAGATAAGGCCTCTGCTTTCACAGCAGTCAGATGGATACGCAACTTGATCCAACGGCCTCTAATCACCACAAAAGATAAAGCATAAAACTTCATTAAAAACCAGTATAGCACTGCAGCACTAACAAATCACCACTGACTCTCTTCCCTAAAGACCCACCCAGTTAACGCTAGACTCCAACCATGGCTGCCACCACAGCTGCTGCTGCTGCGGCATCTTCTTTCATGGGAACACGTCTGCCGGAAATCTATTCAAATTCGGGTAGGATCCAAGCCAGGTTTGGATTTGGCAAGAAAGCTCCCAAGAAATCTATTAAGCGCTCTACAGACCGCCCACTTTGGTATCCAGGAGCCAAGGCACCTGAGTACCTAGATGGCAGTCTCGTTGGTGATTACGGATTTGACCCATTTGGGTTGGGCAAACCAGCTGAGTACTTGCAGTTCGAGCTTGACTCTTTGGACCAAAACTTGGCTAAGAATCAGGCTGGAGATATTATTGGGACACGTACTGAGTTCTTTGACGTGAAGTCAACTCCATTCCAGCCTTACAGTGAGGTTTTTGGGTTGCAAAGGTTCAGGGAGTGTGAGCTCATTCATGGAAGGTGGGCTATGTTGGCTACTCTTGGTGCTCTCTCTGTTGAGTGGCTCACTGGGGTTACCTGGCAAGATGCTGGAAAGGTATGTCAGGAATTTTTCTCGATGTTCAACGAAATCGATTAAGAAAAGTTGGTTTATGCTTTTTGTGTTTGTTTCAGGTGGAGTTGGTTGAAGGGTCATCATACCTTGGCCAGCCACTACCATTCTCCATTACCACATTGATCTGGATTGAGGTTTTGGTTATCGGATACATTGAATTCCAAAGGAACGCAGAGCTTGACCCAGAGAAAAGGCTTTACCCAGGAGGCAGCTTCTTTGATCCTCTAGGCCTAGCTTCCGACCCAGAAAAGAAAGCTACCCTTCAATTGGCAGAGATCAAGCACGCTCGCCTTGCCATGGTTGCCTTCCTTGGCTTTGCAGTTCAAGCTTGGGTTACTGGAAAAGGTCCTCTCAACAACTGGGCAACTCACTTGAGTGATCCTCTCCACACAACCATTATTGACAACTTGTCCTCTTAAAAAATGCGATCCTTTGCCCTGAGAATGTTTCGCTCGGCTTTATTACTATATCTGCCTTGTCATCGTGTAAAAATGATAACCTTCGACAATCTAAGCACAGTCTTGCTGCCCTCTATTAATGCTTCTAGATACTGTTAATATGTGATCTTTCAAGTCATAAATGCATGGTCGCCCTGGGAAGCTAAAGGACCATGTACAGAGCATATAACTTGTTTTTTTGGCTCACCTAAATTTGAAGTAAGCCTAATAGTTCTTCCATGTTTTTACATAAAACTCGAAAGAAATGGAAAGAATTCGGTTATCACCATATCTTATTGGTTTTAATAAACAAGTGAAAAGATTTTCATGACCACAATCAAATCTTAAAGCTAGAGCCAATCTTGGGTCTGGGACAGGGCTAAGGAGTCACTACCACAAGTGACAAAAAAAAAAAATTGTAGTCAGCATTGGCCACAGACTCACAGCCACAGAAACAAACTGAGCTAGGTCTAAACCAAAAGGCAAAACTGGTAATCAAAGCACAAATAGACAGATACTGAGATTTACTATAGACATTAAACCTCTGTAATGTATTCCCTTCACTTCCTAATAGACTTGTTGATCGCAAGCTAGCTAGACTTTACACAGCAGAAACAAGGGGCTTTACAACATAAGAAGGATTGGAGGACTAGGAGTGCATTTTTTTTATGATTCTACTTTTCAAACGTGATGAATGAGTGAGGGGGAAAACCTCCTGAGCATGGGAAGATGGAAACGAAAACTTCGTAGCAACAAAGAATGATAGTCATGAAATTTAGTAGTTTTTATTATATACTTTCTCTGTCAGAAGATTATATCTTTTGACTTTTTATAATAATTTAAAAGAAATTATTAATTGTTAATCTATATGTATTTATTGGTTATATTTTTTAAAAATATTTTTTTATTAAAATTGTTAGTTATCAAATTTCACCCTTTATTACATGAAACCAATATTAATTAATTTTTTAATCTAAAATTAAAGTGATAAATTAAATAAAAAATGATTAAGTTAATTAACGAGTTTAAAATAATAATGAAAAAACAACATAATAAAAGAAACATTTTATTTTCTAAATTTTGACATGAAGTAAATTTCATTTTCAAACTTTTATGTTAAAGGCCCCACCACTTTTTTCAGACAATTACAAATACACTCTCTATCAATGTTTGTTATATAATATTTATCGATGAAGGATTTATTGATAATTATCTAAAAATATAATAGGAATAATAATTTAATAATTTAGTTGGTGAATTTAATAATAACCTTATGTTAAAGGTATTTATATGTATAAAAGAAAAATATAAAAAAAATATTGATTTATTAGTAAAGAACATGAAAATATGAAATGAGAGTAAGAATTAATTTTCTTTATCAATCAAGGATATTTTTTAAAAAATATTATTTAAAGTTTTTACTATACCAATATTTTAAAACAAATATAATATAGCTAAAGAAGAAGATAATTTTTTTTAGAGAATTTTTTGGAGAAATAGGAAATATAGATTTCCCTTATCATTTTGTTTAAATGGCAATTGAAGAAGTTTTTTAAATTGATAGTAAAATATTTTTCTAGGCCGTATATCTTCTAAAGGTTCACTTAGATTTTTTTATGTTTAAAAGGTACAATGTTGAGTGAATTTGTGGTAATATGACTTAAACCATCCAAATTGGCAATACCAAATTTCATGGACTAAAATAAATAAATAAATAAATAAACTGTTTACTTTTGTCATCTTAATTCAGATATCTATTGTGAAAACGGTACCTTATTGTAACGTTTATAAATTAAAGAGTAAATTATACAATGATAGAACATATAGGTACCAAAAACAATCTACTCTATTCTCCCTGAAAATTACAAAACATCCTTACAAAACTTTCGATATCCCCAACCTACCCTTCTATAAACTCCCATAACCGCGGCCGCCAATCATCCCGGTTCTCTTGCCCCTTGGCCCTTACTCCAAGTCCGGACTCCGAAACTGGAGTCAAAGCAGCTTTCCTTCCTGCGGTTTTTCCAATCTTTACTGGCCACAAGAAACACTCCATTCAACTTATCTCAACCTGCTCAACAAGTAAGAATTTTACTGTTCAACATTTTAGCCACTTATTTATTTCTTAGGGTCTAGCTATCTGTGCTAATTAATATTTCTTGATTTTTTTTTCCTGTTCCAGATTTTTGCGGGTTTTTACCTGTAATGCATGTAGTGAAAGAATGGGAAGTGGTAGTTTATTGTGGAATTTGACAAAGAAGTATTTAACAGTTGGGGTTATAGGACTAACCATTACAGACCGATATGCTAGTGTTCTTCCGGTACGAGGTGGCTCTATGTCTCCTACGTTCAATCCTAGGACCGATACAGTTTTGGGGTCATTAGGTAATACTTTTTTTTATTTCTTTATTTTGGAAGTATATTAATAGAAGCGGTTATTTTAATGCTGATTTTGGAATTTTGTTTTTTTTATTATTATTCGTTTTGAATGCAGATGACCGTGTTTTGATTGAGAAGTTTTGCCTTGCAAAGTATAAATTTTCGCATGGCGATGTTGTAGTTTTTCGGTAAATGTTTTCGTGGCTATTGATTGGATTGTGTTTCTGTTATAGTCAGAACTCATATGTGAATTTGTTTTTGAATGATTCATGAAACTTTAGTTTAGAATGGAGGAAATTGAAGTTCTTGTTGCATTTTTGAATCTTTGAATCATTTTTTGGTTATATCGCATTTGAAATGTTAGTTAGGAAAGAGTGAATTCAAGTTGCTTGGTTGGAATTTGGTTGGTAGGAAAAGGCATTGTATTGAGATATTAGGCTGGCCATGTTAGTTAATTAGTGGTTCAAAAGTAGTTTACTGATGAAGAACCAGTATAATCCTCCCTTGGGACTGAAATGTACATCATATTTTTTGTATTAGAGTTCTGACTGAAAGTTCAACAAGTTAAAAACATCCCAAGTAATTTAAACTTGACTCTTAACACCTTAACCTCATAGTGAGTTGGAAAAGTTCTTACTATTAGTTGTTATTTCTGTTTGGTTTAGGGTCTGAGTTTGAACTTGAACTTGGCTAAGACAAGTGTCAAGTAATTGATCACATAATTTTAAATCGCAGATGCGGTTGAAAAAAAGATCACAATCATGGGTCGGGTCTTGGCTTATCATAGTAGTAAAGTAACGGTCGCAACAATTGATATCGTGAATACATTTGCAGCTGTTAATAATTTTTTTCTAATTCATATATTTTTGACAATTTTACTAATTAAGCATACTAATAACATCACGTGGGCTGCAAAGTGCTGAAATTTTGGTTTTTTTTTTCAGTCTAACATTCATTATATAATGGCAAATAACGGCATTACATGATGCAGCTATTCACGTGAAACGGCAATGGAGTCCCTACAACAGTAACAGAGTGCCCTGAAACTGTTATATAATGGCCGTTATTTGAATCTACGATTCTTCATGCTTAGATTGTCAAAATTGAGACTGATTTGAAATTCAATTTCAAGTTAAAAGTTTAATTGGTTTGCTTGATGGAACAAATTGATATAAGCTTGTGTCATGTTGGAGTGGAGCTCAAATTTCCAGGGTAATCTGCAACAATTGGTTGAATGTTACAAGTCCTTGATTACCCTGATTTCAGGAGCATTTTTCAGTAAACTTGACTTCTATTTTACAAAAGAACAAGATGAATATGGTAATGAGGCATGTTTTACTCTTGAAAGAGCCGTTTTCTTGGTCACTGTTTGAGTCTCTGCAATGCATTTAAGGCGTTCAGTAACAAATGGAAAACAAAACAGGTCTTGTGCATTTATTTGGTTGTGCCATAGGTTTGTGAATGCATTCACTAGAATAACTTATTGTTTCCATTAGTCCGAATTTGATAGATTGCATCCTCTTCTTTGGCCAATGAATCTTTGGATCTGAATGAGATCGACGTTCATCTGTGTCACACAATCTATTTACAATGTCATGTTGGTTGTTTCATTAATCAGTTTAAAATAGTGTATAATTGCCAGCATGCACAGAGATGCTTTGAAAGGTCTGGTCACATTGCATAAATATATTCATGCAGAAAATCCGATGTTTGTTATTTCCATCCTTTTGTAGCTCTCCAAGTGATCACAAGGAGAAACTCATAAAGAGAATTATTGGCTTACCTGGTGATTGGATAGGAACTCCTCAAAATGATGTGGTCAAGATTCCAGAAGGACACTGTTGGGTTGAGGGAGACAATTTAGCATGTAGCATGGATTCAAGAACTTTTGGCCCAGTAAGTTATTTGTGCAACTATAATTATACATAGCTTCTGAAAGGGTTATTAGTTCCCATAAGGTGCTGAACATCATGCAATATGTAGTATATTTGCTCGTGTAATTTGTTAGCAACGTTGACTTGTTTAATTGGAGTAGCATGTAAAATCTGCATTTACTGCTAGTGTTTTGTGCTTACTGCTTTTACATTTGCTGCTTTTTGCCTGATTTGAAGGAAACTATTCTTGCAGATTCCTTTGGGTTTAGTTCAAGGAAGGGTTACGGCGGTCATATGGCCTCCTCAAAGAATAGGCCAAGTTGAGAGAATAATCCATCATGACAGATTTTCTCCTTCCTCATGAAGTCTCAATAGCATTTCCCTTTTTGTGTGGGTTTACAAATTGTCTAGTTTTTCCTGAGCCATGTTCCAGCATTCTTTTATTGGATTATGTTGCATATTTGCTTTCCACCTCCTCGTGTAGCTTCTCTAACAACCAAAATCAGTGCTCTACATTCTTTGCTGACGATTACTAGAGTGCATTTTTGAAGAGAAATGGAAAGGTTTTATTTAGCATCCATATGATTGTGTAAGTTCAGCCTCGATGTTTTATATTCCAATGTCAAAAGTCTTTCTAAGGAGGACCTATGATGTTACCCAAGACGGCAACTTTTCTCATGTTTAGGTGTCAAAGTACATCACTTAATAGAGATTCAGTGGCTATCGATCTGCTTGTTTTGGAACAGTTTGTATTCTCTTGTTTCAGGAGTAATTATAAATTAGTCCCTCTATTTTTTAGAAATGAATTGATTAGTCTTCCTTGTTTTAAAAATTAACGATTTCATTCCTTGATCAATGTTGATTACACTTAATTTAATATTATTTTATTTAAAAATAATATCATCTTTTCTCATCAATTCAAGAAGGGATTAATTATTTTGTTACTCAAAATTAGAGGGATTAATTTATGATTTACTCACTGTTTCGGCTGTACTATTCATGTTGGAATTAGATGTTTCATACCTTGAGTAATAATACACTGGGCCGAGCTGGCTTACAAAAGCCAGAGTTGGACCAACCCTAAAGTTAACATTTCTTTTAAATCAAGCCTATTAAACTTGTTTTTTCCCACCAAAATCATGATATTCATAAGATAAAGGAGACTGAAAAGAAGGTAATAAAGATACCAAGTAGAGGAGAGGAGTAGGATAAATTTGCAGATGAGGAGGATAAAAAGGCAAGTAACTAACAACGCTAAACCCAGGACCACCTTGACAGAAACGTAATTTTACAGGCCCAAAAGTGTCTTCCTCTGATATTTGTTTGTATAAATTAATGAACAGAAGTACATACAGAGAGTCACGTTTTCTCATACTACTGACAGCTTTCTGCCTTTCTTGTTCTTTTCTTCTTCTTCTCTCTCTCTAAAAACTGCTGGTAAGATCAATCAAAACCCACTCACATTGTACTGCATTGTTGTTTGATCTTCAATTCATGCATTTTTTAGGTTCGTTTGATGTATCCATGCATGATTTTGATTCTGGGTTTTGTTTTTATGTGCAATTTTGGTGGTTTTGTAGAAAAGAAAATCAAGAAAGTAAGAGCATATTGACTGGTTGGACAAGAAAGAAAATGGGGAGGCTATTTCTGATTGATCTTAAAGGAAGCTTTTATAGCTGCAAGTACTGCCGCACCCCTCTTGCTCTCAAAGAAGACCTCCTCTCTAAGGTTCTTTTCCCTTTTCTCTGTTTCTTCGCCTTGTTCTTGTATGTAATATGCAAGTTTTATGGTTGATATGTTTATGCCATGTTCCTTTTTTACGTTCTGCTGTGAAGTCGACTCGAAGAAAGTGTTGAAGAAGAGCATTGCTTCATATTGGGGAATCTTGGAAAAATAAATTGCCTAAATTAACAAGAACTGGAACATTGGCTTTTTTATATATTCGTTTCTTTTTCCTTGAAGTAAGAGAGACCAGCAACTATAATTTAACTTTTTTTATCTTCCATTTTCTTGTTTTTTGTTTGGGGTTGCGTCTTTTGGGTTCTTGCTGTTGAATAACGTTTGAATAATAGGGAATTCTTTGTTTATTGTATATGAGAAATAAGCTGATATATCAATATTTGTCCCCTAAGATCATGTTTTGTTAATAATGATTCAGGGCCTTGACATGTAATGTGATTAATGGTTATGATTACAATCTTGCCTTTCTTCTCTTAGTTCCAAAAAATGAAAACCCCTCTTTTATTCGTTGTGTTTTCTCAGTGTTTGCATCTGATATCAAGATTGAGTAGCCACGTCCAAATTGACTAACATTATTTTTATTGGATTAATCGGCAGCACCGCATACATTCTAATTCTTTGTTTTATCTGTTTTCTAGTCTTTTTACTCCATGAATGGAAGGGCTTATCTTTTTTATGACGTGTAAGTGTTCCTGATTATGGAATCCATTAGAACTTTTAACTTTATTTATTTCTATATTGTGATATTTCGCTCTGACTGATTGCTTTCTGGTTTGGTATCGATCAGTTGTGCATGCATTTTGATAACACTAAGTGCTTACATTTGTGTTAAATCTTCTGCAAAGACATCTTTTTTGACTTTTATGGGAGGCGGTTTCCATTCTTGTTTGTTGTTAGATATGAGAGTTGCTTAATCTTTGTTATTGTAGCAGCCGAATTACCTTATAGCAAATTTGGCTGCTACAAAGCTTCTCATGAAGGATACGGATAAAAGATTATCCTGTTCTGTTAGTGAATTAAAGCTTGATTTATGAGAAATAATATATAACGTAGTTACCCCGTTTAAAGAAAACAAAAATACAGTGCCCATATGTATTTCTCATACTTATTTCATTTTATAAATTATATGAGTACCGTAGTTATCAATTCTATGTCTGACATTTTGCTTTCACAATGATAACAGTGTGAATGTCACTAATGGACAGAGAGAACATCGACAGATGGTAACTGGATGGCACACTGTGGTTGACATATACTGTGTTCGTTGTGGCTCGCTTCTAGGTTGGGAATATGTAAGACTTGGTTTTCTTAGAATCTATGGATTGCATATTCTCAAGTTTTGTGTCAACTAATTGTTGCACCAGTTACTTCTTTTCAGCCTTTGTTTTATGCGTTACTGTTGGTTGATTGTAGGTGACTGCATATGAGAAAAGCCAGAAGTACAAGGAAGGGAATTTTGTCCTTGAGAGGTGCCTATTAATGTCTTTGGTGGTTGCATCATCAATTTCAATGTTATGACAATGAATTTTATTGTTAAGCAGGTGTAAGGTGTTGGATCCTGATGGACATCCCTATGTGCCTAGTCAAGTAGTTCACAATGGTCAAGAACCTGAGATTGGCCAAGAATCTGAGGATGATGAAGAACCTGAGATTGGCCAAGAAGGTTAGGTTGGTCAACTAGCTCAGGCTGGTGGAGGAATTGGTGCTGATAATGCTTGATTAGTAACTGAGTTTGTAGATTGTTAGTCTTTTTAGTGTACATTATCTCCTCCCTTTGATGATGACCGAACCTACTAACTGGCTTCTTTTGGTCAAGAAGCTCAGATTGGCTTCTTTTTCAGATGATACTAACTGGGTTCTTAATTCGGCACCTTGGCTTTCAACTGACCTATTTCACAAATAGCATTAGAATTTAGTCCAGCACTCTTGTCTGCAAATTTCATTTGTTTAGTAAATGAAATAGCTCAGATCAATCCTATTTCCTATGTACTGTACACAAGTTCTCTTTTCTATCAGAATGTCCCATCTTTAATTAGAGATAACAGTCCTGGAATTTGAAAGAGAAAGTAAAGTCTTATGCATCATCTATTAATATATTTTTCTGTTGCAATATTTATATGTCCTAACCTTGCCTAAAATGTCGCTGTATAATTCTCTAGTTCTTCTGAATTAGAATCCTAATTGAAGGATTTGATAAAGAAAATATTCTCTATAATGTCAATATTTATGAGAATCTGAAAATCTTAATGATGTGATCTTCAAAATATTTTAACATATTGCAAGCATGATTATGTGTACCTATATAAACATCAAAAGGAAGATAAAGGCAAAGGAGTCGATGTTTATCTTCTTCTTTCTTTTTTTCCCTTAATCACTAATACTATTTTCCAATAATTGTCTGTGTAGAGCTTATGTTTGTTGTTCATAGCATTTCAGACAAAAATTATCCTGTGACTCATCTCCTTCACAAGGTAAGAATTCAAAGCATAAACCTTTTCTCCCATTTTCTTCTCTTTTGCAAAATCCTTAAGAGTTCTGTGCGACCATAATAACAATATAATCTTTCCTTAAAAACAAAAGGAAATAAGCATAAAACTATTAGTATGAAAGAGACATTAGACATTGGATTGTTTGGCCAAATTTTTGTAGCAATTGAATGTCATTTGTCTTAAATTGTCAGAATTAAAATGTGATTCCCCCTCATACAACGTAGAAAATAAACCAGACTTTCATTTATGTTTTTTGCCTTGTAAACTTATCTATATTTGTTCAAAATCAAATCGTTTTCCTTTAAGGGTTACTTCTCATCTGCATTTTACATGTCCAAACAATGTCTAAATGTTCATACGATATACATCTAGGGAATATCAAGTATTTGTCATTTCTATTAAATATCTTTTTTCTTCTCTTTCTTGTATATGGGGATAAAGTATTTTGTGATTTTTGTTAAATATCTTTTGGTAAAGAAAAGTATATATAAAGGTTAGAGAGTTGGTGCACATTTATAAAAATAAATGGATTATTTTATTTCTAAAATAGCATGCAATATATAGTTGCTAAGATAAATTCTGCAGAAGATGTGTATTGCTTTAAGAAAGCAATATGATTTGCTTCTCAACCTAATCATTTTCAATTTATTCGATTATCACTATACCATGAAACTATAATAATATGATTTTAATCTCTAATTTTTTCTATAATCAAGTTAAAAAAGTTTCAATTTTTTGTCCATCTTATTTTAAAATGAATTTATTCATTTATTATGCAATTTTTATTATTTAATTATATAATTATGTTTTTTTTTATGTATTAGGAATAATTTTAAATTTTTGTTATTTTAAATTATATAATTTATGTTATTTTAAATTATCCTGCTAACTACTGATGCTAATTCTCTAACTGCTAACCATACTGACGTGGACTCCAGCATCCTATCTATAGCAAAAATAATAATAATAATTCCCTTTCACGGTAAAACTGTTGGGGACTGGGCTGGATATCAGTGGAGCCCAGATTGGATCCTATGTTTGAAATGGGCCAGTACAGCCCCGATTTCAATTGGGACATAGAACAGGTTTAAATTCACGTTCGGAGACAACAAACGCTGCTCAAGTCATGAGAGGCCGGGAGCATGTGCTATCGCATAAGAAGAAGACATTCTTCTCCCACAATTCCTCCTCTCACACACAGACAATGACCTGCTCGATCATGGAAATCTTCTAGACTCCCCACTATGAATAAAAGTGGCATGCACGTGGGATTCATCGTCCGGATAGACTAATCAAGAAAAATGAAAGGGGTTATAACTTGAGATCAAAAATATATTCTCCTGAAATGGGAGCTGAATCAACTTCTATGCTGTTTTGTGGGACTCAAAACGTTTTGCTTTGCACATGGCCGGGCAGGCCTGAAATTCAAGAACACTTTGCAATGTCATAATTTTCTATCTTGACATCAACTGTGCAACTCGAAGAGCAGCATCTTGTGCCTAATGTCTATTCCAGATGCATGGGGGGTCCTCAGGCCTCTCTACCATTCCCCAGGATTCGAGTATGTCAGTGAGATTATGTTCTTGCTGGTCCCATTCTTATCGTACATAGACTCCACTATCGAATTGAAGTGCCTTTAGTTTTGTTTGTGCACGATTAATTTCTCAAATACTTCTCATTTTTTACTAATAAATTATAAATTAGTTCCTTTTTTTTTTTTTCGAGAAAGGAATTGAATAGTTTTTTATTTTATTTTAAAAATTAATTATTTAATTTGTTTCGAGAAACGAATTAAATGGTTTTTTATTTTATTTTAAAAATTAATCATTTAGCTATTTACGTTTTAATCATAACTTAATTTTTTTAATGAGTTTTTTATTAAATTAGTTTTTTTTATACAATAAAAATACTATATTGAAATGAATTTGTACCTGATCTGGATATACTCAAATATTTTTACTAAGTTTTTTATATTAATTAATGGGAAACTTTTGATTGAAATGTTTTTAAAACCATAGTAGGAATTCTTTTGTGTTATAGTACTCACTATTATTTATTTGTGCCTATCATTGTCTTATCGTTTTTTAAATAATTTTGAATGACAAGAGTGGGATTTTATTTTAAAGACATAATTTCTTATATTTAAGAGTTTGTTTGGCTCTGTGTACGTAATTGCCGTATTGTATGGTGATGTGAGATTAAATATATTAATTATTTGATGGTGAACTATTGTATTGTGAGTAAAATTATTTAATTATTGGGTAATCTATTATTATATTATTTGAATTAAAATTACTAATAAAGACAAAACTTAAATTCATTTTTTATTAAAAAAAATTAAAATAACTTTCTTTAAAAACTATAACCCTTTCGTTAATAAAAACCAAATAGTATAAGTAATATGAGTGAAAAAAAAAAGAATTAAAAAAATCACATAGTTGTGTCTTTTTAAGTAAATACTATATAATTTAATTAAGATTCATATTATGGTAAAATAATCACTATTAATATTTTTTGTGATTTAATATTTTTTTAAAAAATATTTTTATCTTTTTTAGAAAATAAGTATCTTTTGAATTTTTTTTTTTAAAAAAAAATCGTCTCCCGTGTTTTTCCAAGTGAAATAACTTCTCATTTTCAAAAGTAAAGCAACAGAATACAAAAATCCTTACTAAGCATTTATGGTGCTTTTATTACTCTGATTTCAAATAAAACGGGTAAAAGCTAAAAAAACAGGAGACTGATGATATGATTGTAAACTAATGATATGTTTGTAAAATAATTAGTGAAAAAAAAAGGATTGATTTTTAACTAGTACGTGCCCCGCATTGTGTAGGGGATACAATTTCCGTCATTGAATTATTTATATATAATCGATTGTTCAATGATTTGACTATATTATCATAATTTCATTTGTGTATTGTCAGAGTCAATATAATTAGGGACTAAAATAAAAAAGTAATGAGTTTTTTAAAAATATATATATAATATATTTTATTTTCTTGATGGATATCAAATTTAAATTCTTAATTTACTATTGATTTTTTTAAAAGGAATACTATTATTTCACTTGCTTCATGATTTTATTAAGTAAAAATAATTTACAATACTGTGATAAACTTTTGAACAACTTAAAGAATTTTTACTTGGGTTGATCAAGTATAAGAGAAGATATATATATATATATATATATATATATATATATATATACCAAAAAAATATTCAATATGCATTCTAACTAAAGCTTACTGTGTGATCTTTCAATTGATAAAAATAAAAATAATTTGCATTACGAAATTATGATTCAAAGTTTTTATTTAATATTTTTTTCATACATTTTTTTTTCAACCGAGTATCATTTGTTTATTTTTATTTTTTATTTTTATCTGCATATTCGGCAAGAAGTACCAAATGTACGTGTGTTAATTTTTCAACAGATGAAAATCTATTATTGGTTAAGATTTAAATACATTGGCATACAACAATCTGTGTATTTTTAAGGATGGAGTCCATTTTTTTTTGTCATAAATAAGGATGTTGTGGGCTATTACTACAGAAATAAAGAACTATTCTGATCATAACTGGTAATAGAACTTTTTTAGGATCAAATATTCTAAAGAGAAGTTTTGAATTCATAATATCTTGCAAGTACAAGAAGCTAGCTACCAATAGATTAGAAACATATTGGTAGGACAGAATCAATTTAAAATTACATCCATTTGACTATCGTATATCAAATCACTAATATTACTATATGAGGGAATCTTCAATAGTGTTACAATTTTTGTGGCATGGACAACATGTGACCTCCATAAATACTGAAATCAAAATAAGAAAGTACTGATACAACATTAACATTGGAAAATTTTCTGAACGTGACAAGTTATTTGCTCATTATTATTATTATATCCATCCCAGGTCCTAATATATAACGCAGTTGGTTAAAAAAAAAAAAACTATATATTGAGACTTAAAAAAATATTAAATTAAAGTAATTTTAGAGTAAATTATAAATTAGTCTCTCTCATTTTAAGAAATAAATAAATAAATTTTTTTTAAAAAAAACTGATCATTCAGTCTTTATTTTTTAAGCATGTCAAAAAACTTAGTTATTTTACTAGCTTTTCGTTAAATTAGTGTTTTTTTTTTTTTCAAATTGTGTTTCTTTTAATGCTTTAT